CCTTGACCGGCGCCCGGCAAAAGTCAATCATGGTTTCCGGCTTCGCCAACTGGAATGCATTCACACAAGCGACCGGCCAACTCCTCGCAGCCATCAACGCCACAGAGAAAAAGTACACTGCAGCACACCCAAAATCGACACACGAGATTTCCAGGATCAAGGATCTTCAGGCACGAATTCGCGAAAACAAGAACGACGCCCTCCAAAGCGTACGTAACGAAGCCGACTTCCCGCCAACACTACTCCAAGCTCATCGCTTTGCTGCGTACTACAATTCCCCGGAAGCGTTTCTGCATAGAAACAAGAACTTATGTGGATTTAAAGAACGCGCTACGGACAGCAAGAAGAACCTCGCTTCAGCACTAAAGCTGGGTATACGCATGAAGGAATTCGACGTTGCTGTAGTGGAGAAGTTCCCGAAGTTGTGCGAGGAGTATCGAGTCCTCAATGCCCGTTTGAGTGGCCAGTCGCAAGAAGAAGCCCGGCCTAAAGAGTCTGGCATGCTTGAGGAGCACCCCATTCCTCTTTGCGCAAAGAAGATATCTCTCAAGGACAAATATTTACAGCGTCATCGTCACGATCGCGCGATTTGAGATGCGCTCGGCGCAATTTGCCATTTCGCGACGCGAATCTTTGGATTGGGTCCACCACTGGGCAGCACTACACAGCCGAGCTTTAACAGACTACGCGGTGGTCTATAATTTGGGTCCAGGCTGATATATTTCGGAATCCCCGAAGAGTTTGACTACAACGACGTGCAGTAGTCCTTATTTATCTCGAAATCCAAGTCTCCGAACCGTCTATTTCCTGCACCGTGACTAGCGACTCGGCATGGCAGCTATGTGCTTGCGCATAGAGTTCATTCTTCCCATTCTGCTATTAATCTTGTGACTGATGCTCCAGAGTCCTCGAAGGTAGTGGCTCGGCTAGTCGAACCTCCTCGACACCCTGGATAATAGCCATTAGCCGCGCTCGCCCTTGTTCAAGAGTCCAAGAGCTCGGAACATGATTGGGGTCAAGTCCGCGGAACAGATATTCGAGCTGATGATCTACAAGAATGGTTGGTCAGCTTCGTACTTGTCGATAGCCCACGCCACAGCTTGTACTTACCCCCCATATTGTCAATACATTCCAAAGTCTCGGGAAAACCACGAATGGGCTCATTTGTTTTCGGATTGTGGATAGATAGCAGAATCGTATGTCGGTCGGCTTGAGCATTATAGGCTGTCGCGTGTGTGTTGTGCTCCCTATCAAGTTCTAGTACGACAATAAAGCATAGCGTTATGCGCACTCACCTCGCTTTTCTGACCAACAAATCTTTGTACACAATAGACAGTGTGCGACTTTCGGCATCCATAGAAGCTCGAAGAAGCAACACATTGTCGTGGAGACCTACAACCGTCCTTTCGAGGGAGACAAGGCGTTGCTGTATGTTCTTGATATCGATGCGGACAGTAGCGGACTCCATAGCAGCAGTCAAAGGGACGATGGAAATGGCATGCAGCTGACCGACTGTAGAGTGTAGCTGCGACTCGAGAAAGGCGAGCTCAGCTCGTCTGTTGCGCATGTTGAAGTTGGTATTCAAGATCAGATGATGTTGAAGAGACCCTTCAGTGGATGTTTGGTCGACGTGAGGTAACGATTGTGAGGGGATCGAGAGCTTGAACCAACCAAGAGCCACCACGAGGGAGAGCGCGCAATACTGAATATTCTGGAAAGCCCGCGAATATCCTTTCGCAGATGCACAGACTTTGCGACTTGCTGTTAAAGACTGGTGAGCCCCTCGGTTAATAAAGACCACTTCGAATTCGCACAACCATCGCATACATGAACATACCACTGCCATCATGGAGACCCCCTACGATATCGCGTTGCAGCTTGAGACAACTGCAGCCCAACTCCGCAGCTTCTCAAACCTCCCAGAGGCTCAACGCGAGGGAGCCATCAAGGCAGCTTTCCAAAATCTTCGGGTGCAAGTCTTGGAATTAGACGAAAGGGTACATCGACTGGATGTCAAATACATCGCTCTCAACAAACAGGTTCAGGCACAGTAAGTGATGTCAGAGGATTCAGACTAGAGGACGACATATTGATGAGTACGTGTTAGTATCTGGAACACCACGATGCGCCGTTATCACAGTACATACAAATATCCGGACATGAGAATGGGTCACATGCGCAACATCAAAACAAATGAGCCCATCATCGACTTCCCATTGCAAGCAAAAGACTTCGGCAGTCTGGATTGTATGTATTCCCCCGCATTGAACATGCTGTCACGCTAACCAATGTTGACGTAGCCTCTGAGTGTGACCGTATCGCAATCGCGTTAGGGAGGCCGGAAATGTTAGGCGGAGTGGGAGAAAGACAGCAAACAGTCATCCATTTGGTCGGACTCGATATTGCCGCCGTATACCACTGGGACTAGTCAGGATATATATAATAAGCTGTAACGGTTTTGTAGACGTTCGGTAGAGTGCTGTGGTGTGGGAGACGAGGATGGTTCGGGGGTACGCGTGGTGGCATTGTGCATCATAGTGACAGATCAATAATGTTGTTGGGATCTAGAGAGTACGTCGACGTGTAATTCACAGGACGTGGGTCAATTGGAATCCTCCGAAGAAGCAAATGGCTGATACGGATTTCTGGAAGGTGAGATGAGACTTGCCGGCAAGAGGGTGGTCGGATGAGAGTCAGCCGCATCGCTGACGTAATTAGCGTATTTTACGCGTCATTTCCAGCCCGCCTCGCGCATGCTTGCGCCTCGGTTCTCAATACTACGGGCAGACCTCGCAAAATCCATTCTAACACTGTACGGTTGCGACGTTCAGCTTAATGGTACAACACCTGTTGCAACACCCCTCAACCGCTGATGAGATTTCCATGATTTCCGGGCGCTGATTAACGCGCGCCTGGAATGGGCGCGTTGAGCTTCCCGAGGTCACGCGTCACCGACGCGGCGCATTTCCCACAGATCACGTACGGCCGATAGTCATGACCTGAGTCCTTGTTCAGATATCCTCGACTTACAGGTCTCCTACTTCCAGAGAAACGAGATGTGAGCCACCTTGCAAACACACATCGCGCACTCACTACTGTTACCATGGTTATGCATCGATGCGTTCCAAGGTTTCCACCTCAGACGCCTCCGGCAGATTAGCGTTGCAATGTACCCAACGATTCTAGCGTAGAGATCAGAGTCATTGCAATTTGATCAATGCGATGTGGGCGGATACATCAAGCTCATATGAGTCATCTCAAACAATGTAAGGCGTCCACTCAGTATACCTAGGTACATTGCTCAAAGGCTTCATTATGCATCAACGGCATACCCAACACCATGACGAGCGACGCATCTTCTACAGCGGAAAGCAGTTTCCATACCAAGGAAATGGCGACTGCGCTCGGAGAGATCAACCCCAACCCGCCTCGAAAGCCCCAGACTTCATCATCTACCAAATCGAAGGCGACATCAGCACTTCGAGCGAAGCAAGAGATGCGCAAGTTCCGCGGGACGTCCACCCCCGATCCGACGCTTGAGATCGACATGGACGAGTTCACATCCTTCACACAGTACCTGCGATCGTCGAAACGTGTTCTAGCCCTCGTGGGTGCTGGGTTGTCGGTCGCTTCGGGGCTTTCGACCTTTCGCGGCGATGATAGAAGATGGAGAGGTATAGAGCCTCAAGAGCTTTCGAATATCGAGGCCCTGGCGCAAGACCCGGTGAAGGTATGGTGGTTCTTCAGCGATCGGATGAAGCGCGCGCAAGAGGCAAAGCCAAACCGGGGGCACATCGCGCTTGCGAAACTCGCAAAGGAAAAGAGTGGATTCTTCGCAATCAATCAGAACATCGATGGTAAGCAGGCTTTCAAGGCTAGAGGCCGGAACAATGTCCACTAACAATACCTAGGTCTATGTCAACGAGCGGGCATACCGGACGAGCAGGTCGCGCAAGTGCACGGCACCCTGTTCGAGATGAAATGCAGCAAGCACGCCTCAGACTCTACCGAACGTTGCGACTACAATACGCCCGTCTCCTATCCTGCCACCGAGGCGCTCACGATCACATCCGACATCAGCGACGCGTCCGTCCCTCTGCCTCCTCTCGATCATACCCAGCTCCCTCATTGCCCCCGGTGCGACAGCCTCATGCGACCGAGCGTTGTACTCTTCGGCGAAAGTTTACCGAGCAACCTCACCGAGGCTATACACACTTTCGTCTGTTCTGAACCTCTCGACCTGTTGCTAGTAATCGGTACGAGTGGCGTCGTCCTTCCGGCGGCGATGTATATACCCAAGGCTCGGAACGCTGGTGCGAGGGTCGCATATTTCAATATAGAAGAGTATCATGACGAGCCTGGATGCGTTTGGGCGGGCGACTGGATGTTCAAAGGTGATGCCGCGGTTATGGTCCCTGAGCTTCTAAAAGGGATCGTGGGAAATGTCGGAAGTGTGTGATAAGGAGTAAATTGCCAATGCAATTCTAGGTGAGACAGGGTCGACTAATATAAGGTCTCACTTGGAGAGGCTAGGTTGCTGAACAACGAATTGAACGTGGCAACTCATACATGGAAAAAGATTGAACAGGCCCGGAGCCTACATCAACGTCAGGTCTCCTACTTTGTATTAGCTTGCAGACCTTTTCAACTTTTCCCCAGGTTGGCATGACACCGTGGCTGTTAATCTCACTTGGGGGTGGATATTGTGTTTGTTTGCTACTGGCGCACGTGCCATGTGCGACTGCCTACTTGGGCCACGCAGCTCTCCTGCTCTTACTTCGCGACGACGTCACTCGGGTACCTACCTGATTTCGTTTTGCACTCACTCCCGTCTTCCACTTTCGCGCCCCTGCAATGTGGAAGTAACCCCAAACGCCAATCGAACAGACGTACCTGAACGATCCTTTCGACGAAGCAGACAGTGCAGGCGTGCTCTACTGCGATTGCGACTGCTTCAACACTCTCCGCAGTTCTGAAAGCATTCAAGAAGGCTTTGTGCGATGTCGTCAGTGCAGCAGACAGCGCAGCGCGCCTGGACGCTACCGCCGGCGGTATCAAACATCACCAATCCCCTCGCGGTCGCTCTGGCTTTGTACCCTATACAAGAAGTAAGGCATACGTCCGTGAGCCTCTCAATCTATGCGCCTTACTAATTCTGATCTGCAGGCCCTAGTCCCGCTCCTGGTACCGGAGAGACTCGTCACTCTTACCCAGCTCTGCCAAACTGTTCATGGCCACCTTCGCATGGACGATGCGAGCGCAAAAGCCAATCTTCTTTCCAAGACACTGTGCTCCGGATTCGGTTCGTTCGTCAGGATGTCTACTCATTGCCCCTGTCCAGCGAAGACATTCCACCCTGTGATGGTTTGCCAGAGAGGTGGATTTGGAGCAGAGTCACACCCGTGTGTGGGATGTGGTGTTAACACTTGCGACGAGTGCCGCATCCATGTTTTCTACAACTTCATGACAGACGATTCTGGGCTCGATCAGCGTCGATGGTGGGCAGGCTACTACTTCCTCAACCCCACGGCTGTTGCAGTATATCCACCTAAGAACTCCGATGGCAGCGCCTGGCATCTACCTGTCAAGGAGATGCTACCTCGCCATGACCAGGGCCGCGTGCACATTCCCCTAGATATCGGTGCTCTAGGCGATCCCGAGCCGATTGAGCCGATTCTCGATCTGAATTTGGGCACCCACCAGTTCATCAGTCCCCGTGGGCGTACACAATTCCCCTACTCTGGCAATAACATCGTCTCATTTCTCAATCTGACTGTCAACAAGCGCAAAGACCTCGCATGCCCTTCCTGTTATCTGGAACGCCAGAATCAAGGTGTGGCGCCTTGTTCCTGCACCCTACGGAAGCGCTTCCTAGACCGATGGTTGTGTATGCACTGCTACATCGAGGAGGTAAACGTTGATGACAAGCTACGCTGCCATGTTGTAAAAGCAAGCGAGGTCGGACAAGGCCACATCCATGTGTGTAGCTGCGGAACGGAGTTCACACCAGACATCATGCCAAAAGTCATGTGCAACTGGTGCAAAGGCGAGATCACAGAGCTCGAGCAGGGCACCGAGGATGATGCCACCAGTGAGAACGCCGAATATAACAGCGAAGAAGAAGAAGAGGAACTCGAGAACGGAGATGACGAGGAGGACCATTCGGCGGCTGACTTTGCGGGTCTACCTCTAGACGAGTTTGGCTACGCTGAGAACCGCGACGGGTCTCTTTCGGTGTACGTGAACGGCGAGTGCATCCGCGGAGAACGTTTGGGACGAGCTATGATCCGCCAGTGGAAGAGAATCCAGGGTGAGCACGTTGAATGTACTTGCTGTATCTGCGACGAGAAGGACTCTATGCATGCTCACGCGGGGGACGTTTCAGAGGACGAGGACGAGGACGAAGGCGAGGACGAAGATGGCGACGATGACGATGACGATGATCTACCAGATCTGGAAGACGTCGAGTCAGCTGCTGGCTTCGAAGATCCATGGGGACTGGACTAAGAGTCCTGAGTCTACTGCACGCTTGTCCATGTAGAATCACGCAGGGCACCACCGGTGAATGCGTGAACTTAGTCCCGTTCGGCAAGATACATACCAACCTTGGAAGATGATCGCCATATGCGATGTACATTTGCTTGTTGCGTCTAGTTGTAGGAATTCCCCGTGACCGCTCTTCCTCGGGAGAAGTCTCTAGCCTACCTAGGTATTTACACACATAGCAGCAGATCAAAGAACGTATTCTGGTCGATACACCAATAATTGAGCCAGCGATAGCTTCATGTCGTCTGTCAGTCGAACATCCAGATGACCAGGTGACGAAACTGTTGGTTCCCCCCGCAGCGCGCACGACCACTTGCTCGAAGTGGACCCCTGAAGCTTGCCGTAGTGTCGTGGCGTGAAGCTTGGCACTGACACATGGACCAGAACACTGTTCCTGATCGCTTCGTCGCCGCATCCCCATCATCACCTGCACCTCCTCACGTCCCAACATCGTCCAATTGCGGCTTTGCCACACCGACTTCCGTTTTGCCAAGATGTGTTCGTGAATCCGCGGATCTCGCCAGACCTGCCGGCGAGGTACCGAGCTCTACGCGTCGCGACTGGATATATACACTACGCGTATTGAACGTACGAAGACGTCAAAACACGACGAGAGTGACCCAATACTTTCGAAGAAACCGAATCATGGCGATTCAGACGCGTATCGCGTTTCGAGATGGCAGTGACAGCGGTGAGTTGCAGTATCTTATCGGCGCGACATCTGCCAAGACCTCTCGCCCGAAGAGAACTTTCGGACCATCGGTGAAATGCTCCAAGCACAGCGCATGACTGTGCGTCAATTCAATGGATAACACGTCCCGATTCCTACAGAGACGCTCGGTCCGTCTACTCATAACCTGGTGATTTCCTCTTTTCTCTCTGCAAACAACTTTGTCATTGTATTAATTCCACCACCTGCCAAATTGGCGTACCGAGTTTCACCGGACGCAACTACCACAACCCTCATTCTTGTTACATCACTTTGACTCGGCGTATATGCGCCTACCAATTTAAGGTCGCAGTCTTTCTCTGGTAGCCTGGTCCCATCCACACACATAATTACGGACATGAGCAGCAGAATAATGAAATTTCTACCCACCTTTTCAGAAGACCGCAGCGCGCAGAGGACTTCCCTTAAGGACATAGCGCACGAAACAGTTGGGGAGACGTACATCGAAGAGGATCCATCGGTAGCAGAATGGTTCCGCGAATTCATTCCCACTTCACATGGCGCCGCAGAGTATGTACGCGAACTATTTCCGAGCGCACGGTGGCTGAGGCGGTATAACTTACATTGGCTGGCTGGAGATGCTATCGCTGGTATTTACAAAACACCTGGACCCCTTGCTGGCCATTGCTAAAGAAAATGAAGGTATCACGGTCGGTCTTGTCGTCGTTCCACAAGCCATGGCATATGCTTCGCTTGCGCGGCTGTCACCCGCCTTTGGTCTTTACACTACGTTTACAGGCGCGTGTTTATATTGGATCTTTGGTACATCTAGAGATATCGTCATCGGTGTAAGCCATTCATTTCACTATGCCGTAACCAGCTAATCCAAGAACAGACGACAGCAGTTGGGTCCTTACTGATTGGAAGCGCCGTCAGCAAAGTTGAAGCGGAACACCCAGGGGTGTATCAACCTCAGGAGATTGCACATGCGCTAAGCTTCCTTGCTGGCGCCATTATTCTCGTCTTCGGTATCCTTCGTCTCGGCTTCATCATCGAGTTCATCCCGTACATTCCCATCTCAGCATTCGTCACCTCGGCCAGTATTACTATCATCTCGACACAGCTGCCGACTTTGATGGGCATTACAGGGATCAACACGCGTGAGTCTCCGTACAAGGTGTACGTCAACTTCTTGAAGGGCTTACCCACGGCAAGACTGGATGCGGCGATCGGTATCACATCCATCGTACTCCTATACTTGATCAAGGACCTATGCGCTAAGATGGAGGTGCGACAACCTCGAAAGAAGAAGATGTGGTCTATGATCTCCTCGCTACGTCTCACGTTTACTATCTTGCTCTACACGCTTATCAGCTGGCTGGTACATAGGACGACACCTACAGGCGAAGAGAAGTTCCGGATCGTGGGTCATATTGAGAAGGGTTTCAGTCATGCAGGTGTACCAAAGATGGACGGAAAGCTCTTCGGCTTGGTGGCTACAGAACTCCCGGCGATCATCATCATCCTTATCGTCGAACACATCGCCATCGCCAAGAACTTCGGACGCAAACACAATTATACTGTCATCCCTTCACAGGAGATGATCGCACAAGCCGCTGCCAACATACTGAGTCCTTTTGTGGGTGGTTATGTGTGCACAGGCTCTTTCGGTGCTTCTGCTGTTCTCTCCAAGGCTGCAGTGCGCACTCCATTATCCGGCGTCTTCAGCGCAGTGGTCCTAGTGCTGGCGTTGTATGCGCTTACAGCTGTCTTCTACTACATCCCGAACGCAGCGCTTGCTGGTCTGATCATACACTCCACCGTCGATTTGATCAAGGGACCAAAGGACTTGCACAAGTACTACCAGCTGTCGCCGTTCGAGCTATTCATCTGGGTTTGTGGTGTCGTCATCGCATTCTTCACCGATCTCGAGACGGCGATCTACATTACTGTCGGACTCTCCTTTGCAATGCTGCTCGTCCGCATGGCGAAAAGCCCAGGCAAATTCCGGGGTGCTGTTGAGGTGACGCGCATCGTGCGCGACGACCGCCTCTGCGATCAGTCCGTGTCGACATCAAGCGCGTCGTTGTCTTCACAACCACACGGGGAACAGACGCATCGTGCTGTAGCTATGCAGGAAGCTCGGCAAGTGTATATACCCTACGACGTCACAGACAACCATAACCCGAACGTCACCGTGGAGCCGGCATACCCCGGCGTCTTTATCTATCGTTTCAGCGAGAACTTCAACTACATCAACCAAGCTTATCATGTTGACTACCTTGCCTCTTACATAACCTCAAACACCCGCCGGACTCAAGCGGATGACGGTATCCGCGCATGCGATCGTTTGTGGTGCGACGCGCCACCCACGGAGAAGCTCATCGAAGAGTCGTCATGTCTGCCCGTCTTGCGAGCCGTTGTTCTTGACTTCTCCACCGTCAATATTCTCGACATTACCAGCATCGACGGATTGAAGAGCTTACGCGAGACGCTTGATCGCCATGCAGCGCCCGGTTTGGTAGAATGGCACTTTGCTGGTGTTCACAACCGGTGGACACGCAAAGCGCTAGCCTTTGCAGGTTTTGGTTTCCCTGCTGTTGTAACTGCAGAGTACACAGGAAACTGGTGTCCAGCCTACACCGTGTCGGCAAGTCTCGCAGGCGCGACATGCGAAGAGCACAAAGAAGTTGAAGCTGCCCGGAGACAGATGGGAGCCGGAGATGAAGAACAGGGCAAGGACTCAACCGAGACGAATGCACTTGAAGTGCAGTTGTCTTCTACGAGTGAGAAGCAGAAGTTTTACCCGATTTACGGGGTTGATAGGCCGTTCTTCCATCTTGATCTTCACGACGCCGTTGACGCTGCGGTTCGCGATGCGAGGAAGGCTGATGAGCACGAGGCGCGCACGAGTTGTACATCGACTGCATGGTCAGCGATGCCAGCGGCCCAAGAAGAAGCATAGATGTCTGCGTCGTCGTTTTTTTCTTTTGACCCATCTCGGGTAATGGCGTTTTGCATGTCGGGCGTATTAGCGTAATTGGTGTCTCGGTCTGGCGTAGCATCAGTATTTGCATCATCGGCGCTCAAGAATGGCTAGCATTTAGAAGCACAGAATGTTCGTATCAATAATACATCTCCTCACTACCATAACTTTCACAGACAACTGTCACCCCATTACCCCCATCATGTGCTATGTCGCACCTGTCGGGTGCCTACTCTCGCTACCATATGCTTCACTCCTCAAGCTCCAAGTTGTGATCTCATCCCGCGTCATGTTCCCCAGAGTCATTCTCATCGCCTCCCTCACAATGTTGTCGCGCTCTTGCACACCGCCCAGTTTTGCATGTAGATCCCTGTACTTGGTACTGTATTCCGCTTCCAAATCAGGCGTACGAAAGGGTGCCATTGCTTGAATCTTGTTCTTCTGCCGCTGGTACGCAAGCATGAGTTCGGCGTTGCGGCGACGGGAGTAGGCGGCATCGTCTAGGAAGGGGAAGAATGTGTTGTGAGACATTAGATGAGAGTGTATGTGTATGTGAGTGGATCTCTATGTCTAGTACAAGTTCGCCTCCTAGTTGAGAAGCTTATGTTCAGTGCACAACATGGATGATACGCTTTGATGACGTATATGAATATCTAGATCAGCCCATGGACGCTTGCTATGGTAGAAATAGTTTGAGCACAAAGAAGTGTATGTGGCAAACAGATCTTGCTTCGATCGTCTGGCCTCTCTCATTATTGTTCGACTACTTTCATCGAACTATGAGTGGATGCTAGTGTATACTATGACATTGGAGCAGCTCCGATATACATCGTAAGCTGAGCCCCTAACTCTTCCGTCATAAACTTCTCGACCTATGATGGCGGTACTTGAAACTAAATTCCTCGTCCTTGCCCTCCTCCATTTTCTTTTTGTATGCGTCCATTTGTAGAAGATGATTCCGGCTTAGCACCTCTTGACACACCATGTGTAGATACAGACCAGGCGCCTTAGAGCCGGCATCCTCGATCGCTTGGTCGATCAGACGGCCATCCAGATTAGACCGGTCTCCATGTGGAAGCATTTCCGGCCAGGCACCCTCTTTATCTTCGTCCTCTTCGTCCGGCACAAACGACTTTTCCTCTTCCTCGCGGTCCATTTTCTCGAACGACCCGAGCACCCGGCCATCGCACCACTTGCACACGAACCACGAATCCTCATTCTGTGAATCAAACGGGTTCCCACACGGACATTCTCCTTGCTCATCTGTCCTAAGCGTCTTCACCGTTCGAGCAGGATCAAATCGAGCTTCGTTCTTGAGATAGCATTCGATACACAGCCATCGATCGAGAAACCGCTTTCGAAATGTGCAAGTACACTGGTGCTTGACCTCTGTGGTCGAGCACGTCGGGCACAGCCGCTTCAAGCGGCCCGCAACGACTAGATCCAGCGGGCCAGCGATAGGCCTAGTACGGGAAGACCCATATGAAGAACCCTTGAATCTGGGCAGCAGAGTGTCGCCAAGATCCTGGTCAAGTAGGTTGTCAAGCGGTTCGGCTTGGCCCGCTTCATTGGAGTCAAAAGGCAAGCCGACACGGCCACTGTCATGCTGGGGTCGGCCCTTGCCAAGCGGTACCTTCCAACATGACTCCTCCTCGACGTCTTCTAGTGGATCTAGTGGGTACCAGTGGAAGTCGTCGACAGGCGGGAGAAGGCGAACGGGAGTGTTTGCCATCATAATATGGCCTGCCCACCACCTTAATCCGTGTGGTCCATTATCCTCGGTCATGGAATGGTACGTCACATGTAACCTGCATTCATCGCAAGTGTTCATACCACAGGTGACACACGGACGGCTCTCCATATCTGGGTCGTTGATCTCGCTGCCACACGATGCTTGCACGTGCCATTCTCCTTCGCTAGCGGGCTTGTGTTTGAGTTTACGTTGTTGGACGCCAAAGCCGGGACAGAGTACCTTCGTACGGAGATTGGTACGGCTAGCGGCGCTTGAGAAGTCCAAGTTTGAGTACACCGTCTGTGAAGTTTGAGCTAGTCGGAGAACATCTTGGGGCCGAAGGTGCTCGACAAGACTAGAAAGAATAGTGTATTGGGTGGTGGCGTATAAAAATGGATTGTCCAAGCTGTTGGTATTAGGTAGCTGCCAGGTATGGTCCTGGGTGGCGTTATTGTCTCGACGTGGAATTCTAGATTTCTTTTTGGGTTTCTGAGATCCGTCGACAGCGGTGGCTGGGTGATCATCTGGTGGTTGAGACATGGTTAGTTGAGCGACGGGGCGTAGAATGACTTGCGTCGACGGTGGGACTCATAATATACAGTTCGAGTGCCTTGTTGTGTTGTGTGAAATGCACGCTTTGTCATTTCACCTTGACCTTGCTGTCACAGTATGCTGATTATAAACACAACACCTAGGTAATCCGTTGTACATTTGGTAGTGTGTGCAGATAGGAAGTTCGGCGAGCGAGTGTGCGATGGTGAAAACATGTAGAGAACGAATGCGCACAGAGGAGACGACAATGAATGGGATTCTGTTGACTTTCAGCACACAAAAGGAGGCTTAGTCTGGATTGGGATTAGCTTTGAACCCTGGCCAATCGGCTCATCGGCATTACGTCACCACGCGCGAATGCTCCTTCTTTCTTCTCTACATCGCGAACATGACCAAGACCTCGATTTCAGCATGCCAAAGGAGGACATACCTGAATATTTGAACCGTAATTCACTTCCGACACCATCGCCCTCAATTCTGAGACTCACCTCATCAGCTTTATCGTACCCACCATCCGCCTGACAGTTCGTAACTCGTCCATTCTTCGCGTAGCGTACGGATCCGACCGCCTTCCGTATATCTCCAGCTCCATCAAACGTACAAACTCATGATGTACCAACATCTCCAGACACGTGATGATTTCTTTCGCTTCCCGTTCAAGTCGACTGTTTACTGCTCTCAGTTCCATGTTTGTCAAAGCCGTCGCAGCACCAGCATGAAAGTCTTGAATAAATGATAACGAAGAAGCTCTTCCTTTGGATCCGGAGCTTTTGACGTGTGATCTATATCTGTTGATGCTGGTGGAAACGGTCCTGACCGACGAAGGAGGATAGCATAAGACGGGATGTCCGACTAGGCCAACGAGGATGTCGCATACGTAGTCCACGCCGGCACGAAAGGCTTGCTGGTGTGTTAAAACTTCGCTCAGTTTGCTCCACTCTGGGCTCATGTATATCATCTCGACAAGGCGAGGCTCTCTCCTCCGGTTCATATCTTGCTTGTTCTTCTGCTTCTGCTAGTCACTATCTTCGTACGAGAAATGCTGGTTACCTAGGTAGTGATGTCTATGGCGGTAGTGCGTACTAAATAAGATCTATGGTGAGTATCGAGCTACTATGATCGCGCTTAATGTATTAATGTAGAAGGCAAAGTTTGCTGCAATAGTCATGCTGCAACCCAATGGCATTCTGGAAGCATCCAGTGAGTCTACTTCACGCTCACTCAGTTACATTGTGGTGTAAGAAATGTGGAAAGTATTTTCACTAGGAGATCCAGTAACCTGCAGTAGGGGCTCTCAACGAACGTACACTTTCCTTCAAGCAAATGTCGGCTTCAGCCGTATGTACATGTGCATGGAAAGTTTCGCAGACGATGAGCCTGGAGGTCTCCAATGACTTTTACGGACTACAACATTACAACATTGCTCAACGTAGAAGTCACAGCGCGCCTACGGCACGGGCAAATCACAATATCAGTATCACGCTCAATAAGAGCGGAGACGCGGAGAAGAGACCATCGACCTTTTATCTTAGCGATCTAATTACTGTCAGCTGTAATATCCGTTTGATGGCGCGACTATGAGTGTTAAAAAGACCGGCAGCTGCGCTGCATGTAGTAAATTGGCCGTGACGAGTCGGACAGGGGGCCCGAGCACACTTCCCACTTACTTACCTAGGTAGTCTTTGAACTTGCCGTGTCGCAACATCGTCAATCCCTCCCCCAAGCTTGAAGAAATATTTAGCGCAAGGGTCACGACTAAAGGGTCTGTTTGCGACTCCTGTTCGCGCACTGCTTCCCACTTTCCATCCCTATCTTCTATTCCACCCCGCCTCCTCGTTGCAGCACGAGAACAAGCTATGGGTTCCACTCAAGAGGAAATCAACGATGCGATTCAAAATGGGACACTTGACGACATTAGGAGCTTTGCAGAGCTTCACAAGCGCAGACAAAACTTCGAGACACAACTGGAGCTGCTACCCGACATTCACCATCGTGGCCGACTCGCTTTCGACACTGCCATCGACGTAGACGTCCCGGAGTCGATCAAAGCAGGAGTGCCAGTGGTTTCTATCTTGCAGCGGGTGCTCGATGCTATCGGAGCACTTTACGACGAAAACACACGTCGCAATGCAGAGTCAGTCCCAGAACGCGAAAGCACTGCCGAGCACGAGTCTCTGGTGAAAGATGCGACACCCCTCGAGCAACCCGACAACCAAAATGAGCAGCCACGCGAGCAGTCACATGAGATGGAAGAAGTGATCGAATCGAGAGAGCTATTAGAATATGATGAGCTAGATAGCTCAGAAGAACAAATCTACGAATCCGAGTCGGACTACGGAAAGCCATCCAAAGGAAAAGGCAAGCTCAAGAGAGGCAGAAAGAAGACGAAAGACATCGAAGCCGCCAGAATTGCTATCGCAGTGGAAGCCAGGCAAAAGAGAATGCGCCTGACCCACGGCACGCCCAATAGCGACGCGAAGAATCCTAAGCGCCATCTCTTCGGTCTCAATTCTGAATTGGGAGACACGAGCGCTACGCTTTCACCGACACCCTCATCACCGACAGCCAAGAGCGGGAAACTGCAAAACACTGTAGCAGCATCTTTACATCCTCGTGCGAGTAGCAGGTTATCCAGGGTAAGTATGCCGCTTCTTACATCTAGATCAATCCAGCTAACGGACAGACAGCAAACTGAAAATACACCCAGCAAACCATCTGCCGACCTACCCTCGCCGACGCCCGACAACGTAAATCCCACCAACCTGCCAAGTCTCATCGTCAAGCTCAAGACCCGCAGACCGTCTGCGCCCAACCCAGTACAAATCCCAATACCCAATTTCCATCCCAAGCGCGGACGTCCACGGAACCCGGAGGGGAAATCGAGGGGGAAATCGAAGGGTAAATACAAGAGTGCAGAATTTGTAGACTCAGATGACGAGGGCGAGGAGATGGAGAACGATGCCCCCACCGACATCATCGCGCCAGAGACGATGCGAAAAACGCGGAAAGCTGCAGCCAAGCCCGCGACCAAGGCTACGAGCAAACTGAAGATACTTGTATTTGGCAGAAAGGAAGAGACCGTGGGATCAGACAAGGACGCCGATGTCGAAATGGCCGACCCGGAACCCATCTCAAGGAACGGTACGACGCGCGAGCCCCGGCAGACGCGAAGCGGAATGACCACACGTGGAAAGCAACCTACTAACATCTCCAAGGCCCAGCAAGATGCAAGGAAGCCCAAACCACCAACGCCGTCAGTCAAGAAGATGCGGGAAAAGGCTCCCGTAGCTCCACGGCCAAAGCGGAATACTACAACACGGCCGCGAAGAGGTGCCATGTCCTCACCCTTTGAGTTGTTCGAGCCACCTCCCGCAGAAACCGCAATGCCCGCAGAAGAGAATGTCTTCTCGGACACGTGGTCAGAAACCGCCGTAGTACCAAACAGCCCTTCGCCTCCACTTATCGCTGATTCACCTGATTCACGCCCGGTATCTCCGTCATCTCCCTCGAAAAACGACACGCCATCTATTACCTCTCCAACAACTCCAACCGCCGTCGCACCCCAGACCTTCGCGCCCTTCCCCCCACTCACCCCCCGCGACCTCACCCCTTTCACCCGCGGCGCGCGCATCGCGCTCGAAAACATCCTGTCAGACCACCAAACCGAGCCGCTGACCAGTCTCATCGACCTAATCGAAGAGCTAGACGACACACGGCCGATCGTGAATGATTGGGAACATGTCACGGTGATGAAGGGCGGGTGTTGGGTGTACCAGGTTATGAGGGATGTGTGGGAGGAGATTGTGGATGAGAGTGATGAGGAGGAGATGGAGGTGGATGTTAATATTGAGGAGGTGGTGGGGAGGGTTGGGGGATGGGTTGATAGAGAGGTGGGGAGGTTAGGTGGGATTGAGGAGGGGGAGTAGGTTGGGAGAGGGCTTGTAGAAGATCAGAAAGTGATGAGGAATGCGACACAGCACCAGGCACGACAGAACGGAAGGATGCATGAATTGATCACAATTGTTATACATTGTATGTGAAGGGTATTCAGACCGGCTGAATATCTATATTGCATGATGTCTTGTTGCTTTCAGCGCTTCCTTACTAGGCTGCATGTCATGTATCTGCCTTCCGGCTATGAACCTACAACCACATCTCCTTTACGGATTCCAAGCCAGCTATCCCGGCCTTGGCTTCCGTTGAGTTTGTGTTTGCATTACCATGCGTTTCTTCGCCCTAAGGTTTGTTCATCGGAGCCGACCGCTGGCGTCCATGAAGAACTCTACACTTCTAGCACAGGCTGGACGTCGCAAAATTGACCGGAGTGCAAGGACCATCCCGGGCGACTCAGAATCCCTGGGGCGAAATTTTGATTCTGGCCCCCAGAGAATCTTACTCATGCAATTGATCTGATTCAGCTGCCACCGGACGAATCTGCTGGATAAGAT